CACCCTTTAGTTTTACTTGGCATCACTCGGGTTCCTGTCTACGGTAGTGAGATGATTCGGGGTAGGTGGAGGCATGGGTGGAAGCTATGATAAGAGCCCAAGTGATAGATGATAAAGGCCTGAACTGAAGTAGTGACAACAGGGATTGGAGGGGGAGGTGTACTCCAGAAGTATTCTGGAAGTGCTGTCAAGATGAGGAATAAGCACAGGTAGCCATCTCATCTTCCTCCAAACCAACCTGAAGAAAGGAGCAGAGATAAGCAGGAATAACCCAAAGCTTGTCTAGAACTGGTCTGGGGGAGGGAGAGGACTATAGCCTGGGGCAGAGAACAGCCAGAGGCCCAGTGGAGGGCATGTTGGAGAAAAGCTTTTAAAATCCACCCTTACCTCTCCCCTACACTGCCTGGGGACAATTACTGCCTGTCCCTTTTACAACTCCCTGCAGTTTTGAGACGTTAATAAAAAGGTTCAGGCTGTCCAGCCAGGAATCATTCCTCCACCCACTCCCTCCAAGCTCCTAGGGCTAATGGGCTACAATTTAGAGAGAACGCCTTCTGCTTCTAGAGCAGCTGATGATAAAGCCATGGTCACAGAATAGCCTGACAGAGGGGCACCAAACAATAGCAATCAACAGTGGTTCTGTGGTGCCCAAGGTTCATCCCCTCCCTTTTACTTAGTCAACTTGAGGGACTCAGACCCAGGCCTGGCCATTGGCTCCTCCCCAGTACATAAGGCGACATGTACGAGAATGCTCATCACAGTGTTGTTTGTGGAGGCTGGGAGTTGGAAACTACTGGGGTGTGCATCACTGGAGGACCATGGAACCACAGAACACTCTGCAGCAGTTAGTTAGAAACCATAAGCTAAATCAGTGGTTCTCAGCCAGGGGTGATTTTGTCCCCCAGGAGACATTTGACAAAGTCTGGAGAGACTGTTGATTGTCACAACTCAGAGGTGAGATGGGGGAGGGGGGAATGCTATCCTGGCATCTAGTGGGTAGAGGCCAGGGATGCTGCTACATCCTACAATGTATAGAACAGCCCCCCACAATAAAGAATTATTCAGCCCAAAATGTCAATAAGGCTTACATTGAGAAACACTGGACTAGATGAACAAAACAACATGAACAAAACACATAGGGCTGAATGGAAGTTTTTTTTAAAAAAAAAAAGAGAGTGATCTATTACAAAATTCCTATCTGGAATTAGGGATTCATTCAGTCAATCATCTGATATTCATTGTGTATCTATTGCAAGGCAGCCACTGTGCCTGGCAAAGTATACAACAGTGACCAAAACTAGATAGGATTCCCCACCTCCCAGAGTCTACTAGAACAGGCAGATATTAAGATAATCTCACAAATAAAAGGGGGAAGGGAGGAGATATTTGGGAGACTGGTTGGATCTCGAGTTCCCCAATCTCCCACTTGCACAGGCCACAGAAAGTTCCTCAAGTTACATTTTTGCTTAAATAACGCTATAGAACAACACCCTTCAGCAGCGCTACACACCAGCTTAGGATTGTGCTGTGCATACAGCGAATGCTCAGTAGGTGTTTGTTGAATGAATACACGGAAGCTGTACCGTTAAACACCGACTCCTTCAAAAATTTCTGGGCTGTAACCTTTGAAACAAGGAAACCAAACTGAATGGAGGAACCAAAGGGCCAGGCCCCTTGCTAGACAATAACAAGGAGTTCATGTGAAGATTGACCAACTACTGTTGTTCATTCCTCCTCAAGCCCATGCCCCACTCACACCAAGCTATTTGCAGTTCCCTGAGCAAAACACCCTCTGGCGCCTCCAAGCCTGGACTGCCCTTCCTCACCTGGTCCAGCTGGAAAACTCTCATTTGTACTTCAAATTCCTAATCACCTTCTCTGTCGAGCTCCCCAACCCTACCTCACCCTGGTGGACTTGATCTCTGCCCTCCTTCGTGCCATCTGTACTTTGTGCTGACCTCTACAGCACTTATCATAACTTCTTTCCATAATTTGATTAAGAGCTCTCTTGGGAACAGGAACTAAATCCTATTCATTTTTATTGCCCAGAGACTCGTCTAGAACCTAGAACCTCATAGATGCTCAAGGTTTGGTGAATGAAAGAATGAATGAATGAACATATGTCCTGCACTGTGCTGCAAAAAGAATGGGATAAAATCTATGCCCTCAAAAAGCTTACCATCTATTCGATGGGAAAAGGATAAATACGTGAAATAATAATGAAAGATTTTTTGCTATAGATATAAACTTGATAGTGATTATAATGAATACGCATTTTTTCATATATGAATTAGAGTATTTGTGTTAGGATGTAAACTTCTAGATGGTATACAATTAAATAAATATCCTCAGGTGCTCCTGGAAACCCATATCCTCCTATTACAGTATTTGTCATTTGACTTGATAGCAATAAATGACAAAAGCCGAAATTACAAGCAGAGCCCACGTGGATACATATAGTGCTCGTTATCATGAATGCCTGGCACACAGTGAGTGCTCAATAAACTTTTGCTGAATGAGTGATCTGATATGCTTAATCAGAGAGAAAAGTTATCTGACCACTAAAGGGGCGGGTATATCAGGAGTTGGGGTTACCTAGAATATCCCTCTCATGATGAAAACAAAACCAGCTCTAGACCCCAAACTTTTCCCCTGTATTTAGTATCCAGTTGCCAAAAGGGCTATTCTTGCCTCCTTTTGGTAAAAGGAATAGAGAAGAGTTGTGTGGCCACAAACTATCCCTCTATATCCTATCCATATGGTGGTAACACACCCACTCACCAACCCATCTCCATCCCCCAGGGTTCCCTGGCCCCGGTTGGGGATGTATGGAGCAAAATTCAAATTTGGGAGATGAGTTTTAATCCTGAGAGTTAAAATACTGAGGATAAGGAGTACTTGATATCTGGTCAACTGCACTTTTCTGATTGCTAGGCCAGACAAGGAGAAACTGCAAACCAGAATCCAAGTGTCTGGACAGTTGCCCAGAGGTAGGACTGAAAACCTTAATGAACAGAACAGCTCTGCCAACAGAAAAAAGCTTGAGCCCAAGACCCCTGAAATAAAGATCAATAAAGGGAGGAGTGCAGGGAATGTGGCAGAATGGAAAGGAAGCCTCAAGAACTTTTGTCATCCCTCGACCATTTATCTATTTATGTGCTAAGGATTGTGGGAGATACAAAAATGAAAAAGAGCTGATTCCTGCTGTTAAGGACTCCATCCATCAGGAACGTAAGATGCCTACAAATAGCTACCACACAAGGAAGAAAGTAAAAATCCAAAAGCAAGGTACCGAAAAAATGTGTTCAGAAATAGAAGGAATCTCATATTTAAGAAGCTATTAGATACTCTTGACTGTAAAACATACTAGGATTTTGAAAATACTAGAACATTAGGAGAAAAAAAGATCATTGCTAATCCTTGTTACGTCTTGCCTAACCGATATCTAGTATATTGTCTGCCCCATCATCAGGGCCTTTGGCACCTTCTGGAGCAACACCATGTCTTCCCATCACCCAAGAGTGGAGAGCTGATGCTGGGTGACAACTAACCTGTGCAGAGTAGTACCATAAACCAGGCTGTCTGCCCTCTCCTGTGTAGTCAGCCACTTAATTCTCACAATAGCCTTACAAGGTAGGTACTGTTATCATCTCCATTTGACAAATAAGAAAACTGGGGTACAGAGAAGTTAAGTGACTTGCCCAAGGTCACCCATCTGGTAAGTGGCACCGACAGGATTTGAGTCCAGAATCTGTGCCCTTAGCCATTACACTACACTGCCTCCCAGCTGAGAACCTGTGGTTAAATTTATCGGGACATATACAGCTGGATGATACAAGGTGATTTTTGGCCAACTTTCCCCTTTAAACCCATCTATCTATTTAAAACTATACTTATTTATATGACAAAAATGTATACACTTGTTATTGATCTAGTTTCGAAAATGGTGTGGCTTTTCGGGACATAGTTTTCACAATCTTTAAAGGGAAGTTCGCTTTGTTAATCTGAAAAAAAAAAAATCAAATGCATGTTTCCTGAGGTGCCAGTGGCCAGGAGAGGTTAAGGTGCAGTTTCCACTGGGGTTTGCAGATACCCCCCTTATAGGTCATCTCATGGCCTTGGGCAAATTGCTTAGCCTTCTTTGTTACTCCATCTGCAAAGTGGGTGTAACAATGGTGCCGTCTCATAAAGTGGTAAGGATTAGATGATGATATTCATATAACTGCTAAACACAGGACTTGACACCGTGAAATGTTCAATAAATATTGGCTTTCATTATTTAGGTGCTGGGTTATCTGTATTTCGAGAATGCAAGCCCCCAGTAATCACAGAAATGCTTTCCCCGTCCCAGAGTCGCTGCCAATCCCTTAAGCACATTTCTCTCTATTTCTCACAGAGCACAGTGACACCAGAAGCAGGCTCCCGGACTCCAGCCCCGGAGGTGGCCATGTGGCCTCGCTGAGGCCCAGGAAGGAGGCAGGCTCTAGACTACCTCCGGGAGGTACCACGAAACTTAACCTAGATTTCTCACTTGGGTGAACCCATCTGTTAGTGGAGGATCACCAGCCCTGTCTGACGGGTTCAGCAGCAGAAGAAAGGCGGGCGCCGGCGCCAAGAAGAGGAGCTCACCCACCTGCCTAGGCCGAGGGTGGGCACCCCTCCACGACATCCCTGGGGACTTCGTCCCTTCCCCGCTGGGAGGCCACGGGGTACCGACCTAACAATGCCAACAGGGTGAATTTCCCCCAAATCCTTTGAAATACGTTCCCACATTTCTAAGAGGGAGCCGAGGGAGGAGCAGGAAGCGCTTCACAAAGCCAGGTAAAGAGCAACATCCCGGCGCACATGTTGAGTCGCCTGACCCAGCTCTCAAGTCCGTGCCGCCGCCACCTTTCCTTCCGTCCTGGGCCGCGTGTCTCCGCAGCCACGTGCGAGCCGGGTCCCCAGCCTGCAGCGCCCCGCCGCCCCGCCGCCCCGCGGGGCCGCGCGCCTCCACTCACCAGGTGAAGAGTTTGCCTTTTATCCTGCGCAGCAGGCTGGGGGGCGCGCCCGCCGCTCCCTGCGCGCGCGGCTGCGGGTCGCCGGGGCCCGCCGGCGACGCTGCCTCCATGGGGGCCCCCGCGGTCTCAGGCGCCCGGAACCCCCCGAAGTGCCGGGGCCCGGAAGACGGGAGGCGGCGCCTGTGCGGCCGGCGGGGGCTCGGCTCGGTCCCTGCGCCCGCGCGCCCGCGCTCGCTCGCTCGCGTCCCTCCTGCTCCTCGGCCGGGCTCCTTCTGCCGCAAATCATTAACTGTCAAGCCCCTAGGGCCAGACGATACATTTGCAGATTACAACCTGGCACCTCCGGCGAGGCTGGAGGAGAAAGGGCACTTTTTTTTTTCGCCTTGGCGGTTGAGCCTCCGTGTTGGGCGATACCCAATATGCATTTCAGGTTTTTATGGTTCCTTGTTTAAATCAGCAAATGAGGTGATACGAGGTAATGCCAGCGTGTCCTAACCCAAGAGGCAGCGATTAACAACTGCCTGAACTTTGCTAACTGTAAAGGGCCGGCTGACCCTTCCCTTGACCTCCCAGTCTCTCTCCTTCTGATTAATTTATAAAAGATTTCTCATCTAAAAGAACTGAAAACGCTTTGGTTCTGTGTTTCTTATCCTTGCAAAACGTGGGTAAAATCCTAAAAGGATCCTGGAAACATGTCTGTGGTGTGTCTCCCTCCTCATGGGCGTGCTCCGTTTGCCTTTCGGTATTCAGTGGTCTGGGAGGTGCCAGCGAAGGGGACGATGCCAACCCCCGGCGCTCAGCCAGGATGCCCTGGGCCTGGGCCACATCTTCCGATGCTTCTGCGGACCGAGAAGGGACTAGGAACCAGAGTCGAAAAGTTCCTGATCCTCACTGACAGGGGGACTTCGGTGGGTCTGGTAGACCCCCTGCTTCCAGAAAGGAGGCGATCAGGAAGACATAAGAAAAGGTGTTGGGACCATTTTTTTTCCAGACCGCTTGCTTCCCTTGGCAAGTTGGCGGGCGGGGTTGGCGCGGGGTGGGGGGTGGGGGGATGCTGCTGAGGAAGAAGTAAAATACTGTAGTCCCCGCCTTGTCCGCGGCTTCACTCTCCGAGGTTTGTTACCCACAGGTCAACAGTGATCTGAAAATATTAAATGGAAGATTCCAGAAGTGAACAATTCGTAAGTTTTAAACTGTCCACCCGCCCCCCCTCCTGAGCCATCCTGCTGGGTCCTGCCCTGGACGTGAATCCTCCTTTCGTCCAGCGTATCCACGCTGTATACCCTACCCTCCCGTTAGTCATTTAGTAGCCCTCTTTGTTGTCAGATTGACTGTCACAATCCTGCAGCGCTTGTGTTCAAGTAACCCTTATTGTACAAATAATGGCCCCAAGGCGAAAGAGTAGTGATGCTGGCAATTCGGATATGACAAAAAGAAGCTGTAAAGTGCCTCCTTTAAATGAAAAAGGTGAAAGTTCTCCACTGAATAAGAAAGAAATTGTATGCTGAGGTTGCTAAGATCTACAGTAACTTTTATTACAGTATATTGTTATACTGTAATATTTTCTTATGTTATTGTTAATCTCTTGCTGTGCTTGATTCATAAATTAAACTTTATCATAGGTATGTATGTGTAAGAAAAAGCTATATATAGGGTTCGATACTGTCTGTGGTTTCAGGCATCCACTGGGGGTCTTGGAACATCTCCTGGGCAGATAAGGGGGAGACTACCGTCAATGTAAATTCAAATGGGTTGGCAGTTCTGTGAGAAGAGTCTAAGAAAGAATATAGATTTTCAAACATGAAATATAGCTTTAGGAACCCAAGTTTAGCAGGTACAGGAACCCCAAAGTTTAAGTGAAATGATTTTTTTTTTTTTGGTGAGGAAGATTGGCCCTAAGCTTACATCTGTTGCCAATCTTCCTGTTTTTGCTTGAGGAAGATTGTCCCTGAGCTAACATCTGTGCCAATCTTCCTCTGTTTTGTATGTGGGATGCTGCCACAGCGTGGCCTGATGAGCAGTGTGTATGTCTGTGCCCAGGATTCGAACCTGCGAACCCTGGGCTGCAGAAATTAACCACTACACCACCGGGCCGCCCCAAAATGATTTTTTTTGATTGTTGAAGTGAGATGGGGAAAAAACTGAAGACTAAGAACATGGTCATCCATAGAGGGATGGCTGAGTATTATGATAATAACCACATCGTGTAACACTATGAGGAAATTTGAAAGAATGGAAAAGAGCTATACTAGGAGTTGGGACGATTTTCTCTAGCTATTTCTGAGTGAAAAAAAGTAAGATGCAGAGAAGTACATTTGATATGATCTCACTTTTGTAAAGCAAACAGCCTGTTAAACCTTGCACATGGACAATGTTGAATTTTACCTGAGCCCTGTGCTCCTGGAAAATAGTGATGGTCAAGAAACCTCCCAGCCTTCTGTGTTCTTAGAAGTGGCATAGAAACACCCTTCCTCATATGACTTAGGTAAGACCCAGAGATGCTCTCTTTTTCACCTAGGAAAAGGTGAGACAAGGACCCTCCAAGATCCTATCCTTTGCCTCATAGATGATTGACTGAACTGCTTGTCCCCATGGAGCAATTGGAACAAAATGCTTGTTAAAGAAACTGGTTAAATTCTTCTTCCTCCAGGACTGGGAACTTTCACCCACCTCAGCCTGAGCCAGCACGTGACCCCTCCTTGATAGGCCCATTCCTGAGAATATGCTTGCCTCGGGGTAAAACATTCTCTGATGTACCATCCAGTTAAGCCACCCTTTCATTCCACTTCCCCCCAGGGAAGAGTCCCCCTCCTCCTATTGCAATACCCCCCCCCACAATAATTCTTTCAAATAAAGTCTCTCCTTACCTAAATCAGATTTCTTTTTTATTTGACAATATGTATATGGTAATGTGAGCATGGAGTGGGATACATGTCAACACAAGTAACCTTAAAAAAGTTAAAGGATGCAAAAAGAAGTAGAAAAAGAAAACTACACTTAAAAAAAAACACTCCAGCATGTATGATATAGTCTCTTTTATATAAACTTGTGTGTTCTGTATAAATACATGAGAGTAAAAGATGGATTTAGATGTTATGACAGGCTAAATAATGTCCTCCAAAAAATATCCTGTTCCTAATCCCTAGAACCTGAGAGTGTTGCCTTACATAGCAAAAGGGATTTAGAGGTGTGATTAAATTATGTATCTTGAGATAGGGAGATTATCCTAAATTATCTGGTGGGCCATAATGTGCTCGCAAGTGTCCTTATAAGAGGGAAGCAGGGGGAGATTTACAACAGAAGAGAAGGCGATGTGATGATGGAAGGAGAGATTGGAGTGATACGATTTGAAGATGAAGGAAGCACCACAAACCAAGGGATAAAGACAGCCACTAGAAGCTCAGAGCCTCGAAAAGGAAGTAGCCCCGCCAACTTAAGCCTTAACTGTAGCCCAGTAAAACTGACTTCAGACTTCCGAACTCCAGAACTGTAAGAGAATAAATTCGTGTTGCTGTAAGTCACTAAATTGGTGGTAATTTGTTACAGCAGCCACAGGAAACAAATGCAGATGTATATACACTAACTTGTAGACATCATGATGTACTGTCAAGTGAAAATGGCAAGTTGCAGAGTTGCAGAATAATTGTATAATAGGATTCCATTTTAGTAAAACCCACCAATTTAGTAGCTAAATATCTTCATATATACATATACATCTGTATGCATATATTTATGCTTACTTGTCTTTATATGAGCAAGAAGAAGGGTGTGGAGGAATACACACCAGGCTATTGATATTGGTTTAAGACATGAGAGTAGTGGGGGAGGTGACGAGGGGGGTAAAGGAGAAGAAATTGTATTTTGTGGCCCTACCATGGCATATACTACTTCTGCAATTTGAAAAATATTCAGTTAAGACATTTTTCAATAGGTCACATTAATCTTAATTAAAAACATGTTAGGCTCAACATATCACCCCCACAGGAGGATGTGGCCAGAAAGTAGTCAACCACTAATGTGGATTCTAAAGTTATGGACAAAGTTATATGTATTTTCTAAACAGAAAATCCTCCTTAAAAAGAAGCAATAGTAGTATTGCTCTAGCATTGCTCCAAAATGAGGTCATCCCCTCACTGAGGATTATTGATCAGTCTACATTATTTTGGTATCAGGATTAAAATACATTGATCTGTGGGCACCAAACCACAAGTTTTTGTCAAAGGAAATTTACTGAAAAAGAATTATTTAGGTATTGGAGGTTTTGCACAAAATAACTTTACATTTTACAAGTACCAAAAAACACCTACCACTTTTTGTGCCCCTACTGTGTGCCAGATACTTTATATACAGTTTCAATCTTGTTCCAGTTATCTATTGTATGTATCAAATCACCCCAAATCGTAGTGGCTTCAAACAACAATCATTTTATTATTTCTTGTGGTTTCTGTGGGTCAAAAATTTAGGAAGGTCTGGGCCAGGCGGTTCTGGCTCAAGGTTTTACACGCAGCTGGTCAGAGGTAGCTGAAGCTAGAAGGCAGAGGCCTAGCGGGGTGGGGGAGTGTTAGGGCTGGAGCTTCTAGGCTGATCAGCATCTGTCTCTCCACTTAGTTCCATGTGGTCTCTTGTTGTGGGATAATTTGTGCTTCCTCACAGCCTTTAGGGTTGTTGGTCTGCTTATATGGCAGCTAATTCCCCCCAGGCAAGTGTCCTAAGCAAAAAAAGCCAAAACATTGTTGATGTCCTCCAGCCAAAGACCAGCATGAATATAGTTGTACTTAAACAAGTTGAATTTATTACTCCTTGCATTGAGGGAGAATAAAGCCTGTGGGAGAACCATTGGATGATTCAGTAAGAGGATGTTAGAAAGAACCTCTTATAGGATTTGGGCTTTGGTTCAGTGGTTTGAGGGAGGCTCTAAGGAAGCAGAGATTGATTCACTCTTGATTGAATGCTGTCAGATTGGAAGAACTATAATAGAACTTAGAACTATAAATAAATAGTGACTTAAACTTTGGTTCTAGATTAAAGGAGTTTTAAATATTGATGTCTGCAACTTGCTTTAAAATTTTCAATTTTCAATTTTACACCAATAAATCTTATCTAGACGGAGGACAGACTAGGGTGAGGATAAACTGACAATTGGTAAAGAAGTAGCATTCACTCATTTTGAGCGAGAGAGAAGGAGAGTTGGTATTTTGTGGTTGGCACCGTGACCTTGTTTTTGTGCTTAGATAAAATTATGAACTGGCCTTGTTTTGTCTCATTTTTTCGTGGTCTCAGAGTAATCTTGTCTGAGGACGGTACTCTGTGAAATTGTTTATGTCCAATAAGAGAAAAATACGGCCTAGCTCTGAGTGCCAGGCCTACCTCCAAATGTTGAAGACTGCTTTCTTTTTTTTCCCCTCAGTATCTCCTTTCATGACCTAGCCTCAGAATTCACATAGCATGATCTTCACCATAATCA